TTATTTACCTGCCGCATTAACGGGAGAGGACGTGCAAACGTTACCGCTGCTGCTGGGTTGAGATTCACGAGTCCGGAGCGGAATTAAAAACACAACATTCATTTAAGGTTATCGTGTGTTTTGTGAGCAAACGCTTTTGCATATTCGTAGTGTTTCCTCCCTTAAATTAAATATCTACTTTGCAAGTATTGCAAGTTGCCCTGTTGTCATCCGTTCTTGTAAAGTATAACCAAACTTTTTAGCGTTTGAGCCGCTTATGCGCCGTGTTTCCTGCCAGGTAAATGACGCTCCGCAACGTGGTGACGTCATTCGGGGCGACTGGAATCGATAAGGAAATCGTTTGCAAAAATGGCAAACAATTCCAAGGAATTGAAACAGTGGGAACCGGTTCTTGTTGAGAACCGGTTTTCGATACCCATCCCTAATCATAGCAGCCGCCCAGCTGTATAGAAACTCCGTCATGCTAGCTAGTATGCAGTACAAAAAAGTCAGCATAACTAAAATAAACTCCACCTAAACTTGGTTTATATCTGACCCAGATAGACTGCAGGTATTAACTTCTTACCTGAAGTTCAGTTCACTTGACACTCGGACACCCGCCTCGAGTCTCTCCTCCTGCCTCCCCTTTCCTTCATCTACCTGCTGGCCTCCACCACTTGCTAATGTTACTGAATCTGTGGAAGATCCGTGATAGCCACCACATAATAACTAGTTACCGTGCTCGTTACCACAGTAATAACGTAGTTACTGTAACGCGTTACTTAATAATGCGTTAGTCCCTACACTGAGCATAAGTAATGGAAACAATCATGCAATGTATTCACTAGAGGTTGGGTTTTTTTGTCTTATCCTCAGATCAGGGGTCTAATTCATATCTTTAAATATTTGAACTGCACTAATGTGAGCCTCATTTCACTTGTCAGACACAGTGTGTGGAAGCCGGGCCATCAAATGGAGAATCCACTTTGTATGCAGGGAGGGCCTCTGATATTTTCCAATGTATTTAAAAGTATATAAATATTGAATGAATGTGTTCTCATTTCCAGCGTTTTCTTCATTCTTTACTTCTTACAAGTAAACCATTGCTGAATCTATACTGTGTCTGCAAACTTCAACTTGCCCACTGTATGTGTTTGCGTAGATCTCAGATGCTCTGATTAAGCGAGTGACGTCATCTCAAGACCAGTGGGTTAAAGGGGCCCTGGAGCCAAAGGTTGGCCCTGACTTTGACCTCACTCTCAATACCGACTCGCTGCTACAGACCATCCTACAGCTGGACTTCTGCCAGGGCAAAGGTGAGCACACGTTTGGACTTTAAGACCAACTGTACTACTACAACTTAGTCAAATTAAAAAATCTCTTTAGCTGTATATTTAAAAGGCGTACTCCACTTTATAAGGCATGAGTCTCACATGAGAGAAAACTAGAAAAGAATGGTAAAGCTAGTTTAACTAAGATGTACGGACAAGCTCAATGCTGGGAATTTCTCCGTTACTCTGCTGGGAACAACAGATTGATTGATTTATTAACTTTGAATTGAGAATAATTTGTTATTCTAGATTTTCCTCTGTAAACCTTTGGCCTTTTATACTAACTTGATGCATCTCAGAGTCCTTGCTTCAAGCAATTCGCTCCTCACTGGAGGTGATGATTGGTTGCTTGTGGACTTACCAGCCTCTGGTTGCCTAGGTAATCATCTAATGTATTTACCACCAGATAATATGACAATCAGCAGTATCCTGCAGTATCACTGATAGTCTCTTCACTTGCACACCTGTCTCTGGCCACCACATTGCTTCAAATCATCAAGCAGCCTCAATTCTCCTCCCATTGAGATCATATTCCTCACAAAAATCTTACTATATGAATCTTTTTGAACAAAACTGTTCCTACACAGTGAGGAAAACTGAGGAACAGTTCAGGGTTGTGGCTGAATTTGGAGGCTGACCACAGATTTTGACTGGGTCGCCAGAATACTCATTTTCTTGAGCTGCACATACATATTGAAGTCCTGGAGTAAAGCTCACTTGTAAGCTTGCCAATGATTTACTTAAAAAGTCTCTATGATTATAGATATATGTAAATAATTTTGGCATGCACAAACATACACAAACAAGATTCATCTAAAGCAGGGGTGTCAAACTCAAATACACAGTGGGCCAAATTTCAAAACTGGAACAAAGTCGCGGGCTAACATTAATATTTATTTTTTTAAAAAAATCTTCCTCCAGATATAAGAATGAATCTTTTCTTATGGACTCAAATAAGTTTTACTGGAAAACTGAATATGGAACAAGCAAAGCTTAATACTAAACAATATATATATTAGCTGTATAATACCAGTAGGCCAGCTCTAATAGTAATTTGGTATGGCTTCACGGGCCAAATGTAATTAGGCCCGCGGGCCAGAGTTTGACACCTATGATCTAAAGTCAACAAAATAAGATTTAGCTGCTATTGCTCTTTTCTTTTAAGGTTTCTTTAACTCATACTACAGTGTGCACATCTAATTATCTATTAATTGGCTGTTGCTACCCAGCAGCCAGTTGGCGCGCATGAGTAAACAGCGTGTTTTATATTCATTCCGCTGCGGTCTCTGAGATTACCCAGATGTATAGTTAATGTATATTAAATATGTAATCACCAATATGCATATTTTATTTGCATATGGCTGCACTTAGGCGGTGAAGATGGGATGTCTTCCCTGTGCAGAAGCAGATTCAACCTGGTTACTTTGCTAGAAAAGTAAATAATGCTGACCGGTCTTTGTTATCAGCTATTAAGAGTACAAAATCCATTAAATCATAAGCAAAATACTCATTTTCACAATGAGGAAATTACATTCAGTGGAGCTCTGTGTGTGATAAATTTTATATTCGGTATCATAACTGTGATTATGCACTCTTGTAATGTTATGGTTCATCTTGGGTGACACTTCCAATGAGCTGCAGCAACGTTTTTTGTCCCCAACAAAGTCAACTTCCTAGAAAATAAGAACACTAGCTCTTACAGACACGACAAAAACTTAGTGAATTAAATTTAAAAATGTGTCCCGGGTCTTCAGGTCATGGCTTGAGTTAAGTTCTACTTCAAATAGATTTTCTCCAATTTAAGCTCCACTCAAACTTCTTAGAAAGCCAGAAAGCTTTGATCAGCTCTCTTTTCTTCTCCAAGACTGGGGATGTGGAATTCAGTTGTATGATTCCTTTCTCTCTCACCCATTATCTGGTATGGACTTTAACGACGGATAATTTCATTTTAAGCATTTGAATTTTAATCTTTGACATACAGAGCACCAACAAAAGGTATGTTTGTACTCAAATATGAAGTTTGTTTAAACCCATATACTGTAAATAAAAGATGCGCATAGCCATCATAACATCCTCCACAGGCATAAAGATTCATTAGTTATTCCTCCTCTGCATGTTTTTTATCTGTCTTCACCTCAACTTTTCTTAAAACGAAATGCTAATAGTTGCATGAGATGGTTGAGTTGAGTAGTTTAGGTTAACAGTAGGTGGCTTGATTAGAAACACAGAACTGTAATTCACTGTCTATTAATTGTATAGGATACTAGTTTGTGGCTAAACAAGCTCAAAGCAAAATGCAATTATTGGAAAAACAGAACAGCTGATTCTTTGTACAAAAATGAAACTAATTAAATTAAACACTCTACAAGGCCTGTCACTTAAAGCAGTTACATCTTTAATTATGTACAGCTTTAAAGCTACGTCCACGCATAGCTTTGGAGCAAAGTGATTCGTTCCTCACTCATCTCTTTGAAGCTGACAGCTGATTGCTCACGGACATTCCTGGCTCTGGTTGCCTAGGTAAACTTCTAATGTATTTTGCAGTAGTTTCTGTGTGATAACCAGGAAACAGGGCTAAGAACTACTGAAAGAAATCTCCGTCCCGGGTTTCTCCATGGATCGGGTTTCCTCCAAGGCGTGAGCACCGATAAGCAGAGTTTTGTCCTTTCCTTATAAGAGTCCTAATTATTCAAAGTAACGCTCAGGTATGCCGTTCAGCTGGGTTAGTTACGACGTCGGGAGCAGTTAGGAGAACAAAGTGATACAGAGACTGTTCAGGTTGCTCTCCCACAATCAACTCAAAGGTTTATTCAGTATACAACAGTTTATATAGAAGAAAAAAAGGTTCGTGTGTCGGCAGGTTCTCAGTTCAAACCGGTACAGACCAAATAAGGAAACGTCTTCCTGCCTTCTGAGCA